CAAGCCTCGTTCTGAGGCTACTCTAGAGATCACATGACCTTCCTCCAGGAGGCAAGCCTCACTCTGAAACTTTACCCACTGATATCTTATCGGAAAGGTTTACTCAGAGTAAACCTTTCAGGGAGAAAATGCCTCTCTCGCAGACATCAGGGAGCTGCTGTCCAAAAGAGGGAGACTCCCTGAACATCAGGGAGACTTGAGATCCCTGAAACTCTGGCCCTCCAGCTGTGGTGCAACTACAAATCCCATGAGGCATTGCAAGACTCTGACAACCACAAGCATGACTTCCAGAGGCAGATGCATGATGGGAGTTGTATTTTCACCACAGCTGGAGGGCTGGAGTTTGTCTACCCCTACTCCATGGTACATATAGAGCAGTGGTTCTCAACCTGTGGGTCGCGATCCCAAAAGTGGGTCGCAACCCACAGTTGAGGGGGTCCCCACGTGCCTTGTGCTGCTCTAGGTAAGAGGCTCCTCAGCCTCCTCCTAGCATGGCACTGTCAGTTCTCCTAGATGGCGCTGCAGCATCAGCGACCGGAGAGGATCAAAGAGAGGGGAGCAGGCAGGAGCTAGGGGAGGTAAGTGCTTGGGCACCACAGAGCCCGCACTGGGCACCACAGAGAGTCCCACTAGCCACCTGAGAGCCCGCATAGCCTCCCGAGAGCCCACACAGATACTAGTATTGGTGCATCCCTAAATTTTACGGTTGGGGGGTCACCACAACTTGGCAAATGTTACCAAGGGGTCCCGGCCCTAGAAAGGTTGAGAACCACTGATATAGAGAGTAGCCCAAGGTACACATTGATATTGTTTACAGCCTGTTCTCAGGGCCAGATTTACTCTCCCTGCTGCCCCAAGGCCAGGTTCCACAATGCGCAGGGTTAGTTTACATTTTTTTATTGTTTATTTGTATTTTTTATCACTGTTTTATTTATTTTTTTACTTTAATTTTTTATTTATCTTATCGTTTACTTTTTTTTTATTTTTTATATTTTTTTCTTATTTTTTAATAATTTGTTTCTCATTATTTTTTACTTTTTAAATCACTTTTTTACTCCTTATTTAGAAGTGTCAGGAACTTTGGCGGCTTCTGATATTATGTTGACTAAGCTGACCCCTGCCCCTTGAGATTGAATGTTGCCGACAATAACAATATTTTGAATGGCTTTTTCCATCATGTCAATCCTCTCCAAGAATCCGCTCTTCCCTTCCCGCCTCTCTTTTTCGATGAGCAGCCGGACGTAGTCCACCGTAGACACGGGGTTGGGTTTCAAGGCGATCTCCTGGAGGTGTTTGAGAATCTTGGAGACCTCCTGAATAAGCCTGAGCCCCTCACCCTCGGCCTCTTTGATTTCGTCCCTCAGCTTCTCCAGAACGTTTGCCGGGGTCATCACCTCGTTGTCTCTCTTCTTATATTTTTTCCTAAGATCAAAATAACTTCTCTTTTGGGGTCTGACGAACGTTTGCCAGTAAGACGTCTCCGCGAAGTGCTTGCTCCCGCCGTGACCACACACGCTGCAGGTTCCATTCCAATAGAAAACCTCACACAAGTAAACCAAGACGTCAAAGTACACGAGGCAGTCTTGGTGACACGTAGAGTGGCACTCGTAGCAGTTGGTCGAGTACAGAGATGAGTCCGTCTTTCTTTTTACACTTTCCGTCACTTCAAACTCGAAATATTCATTCTTTTCGATCTCCTCCCTGTGTTCATTCAGAGCTCTCTCCGTTTGCTCCAGTTCATTCTGCTTACCTGTCACCTCCTCAATTTTTTGGACGAGCCCATCCAAGGTTACCTCCAAAGCGTTTCTTTCTGCTAGGACATCCTTTGTTAAACTTAAGTCTTTGCTGGCTATTCCGGGCAAAAATTGTATGAGAAATGTCCCAATGCTTTCCATTCCCATCTCCCACTGTAGTTCATAAACCCGGTAGGCACGATTGCCCCCTTTATCGGGGCAGTTATTTGCGTACGCCATGCTGTTATTGACCATAAAGTACACAGGTTGTCCATCTTGAGATCGGGCACAGGGAACGTCAGCCTCAATGATTGCTGAGAGAACGTTTGGCTCCTGGATATCTGAGAAGGTGGTGAAGAAGACTATATTCTCCTCGATGTCCTTCCCAAAAATGGATAAAATGTTGTCATAGATGTACAATTGTGTCGGGGTCAACCGGGCCAAAGAAGACTGAACCACAAAACAAATGGCATCGATTTCAGTGAATGGGCACTTATGAAAAAATTCTCGTATCTTCCTCATGATTTCCTCGTCATATTGTATCCCTCTGGTGTCTCCGAACCCCGGAGTGTCAATGATGGTTATGGAGTACGGGATTCGGAATTCATCTTCGTGGTTGATCTGGTAGATGGTGACACCAGATGTTTGGCTGTGGGCTTGACTCTTCTCACTACTCTCCGCAATCAGCTGGATCCGGTGGTCGTCCATCCACTCCACACCAAAGATGAAGTTGATCATGGTATTGATCAGGGTCGTCTTCCCAGATCCGGTCTCACCAACCATCATGATCACTTTGTTTTCCCCATCGGCTTTCGCTGTTCCGAATTTCCATATCTTCTGACTCTTCACATGTTCCATTTTCATCCTGTAAATGGTCAGAGGTCCGGCCTTGTCTTTGCTGCTCAGGTATTTATTCAGTTTCAGTAATAGAGATCGTTTATGATCTACTAGCATAGAATGGGGACGTTCAGTACCTACAAAATCGACATACAGTCGTTAATGATATCTTCATAACACGTCTACAAACACTGAATAATATACAAGGGCAAAGCCAGACAGGCAGGGCTGGATTTACTCTCTCTGCTGCCCCAAGGCCAGGTTCCTCAATGCGCCCCCCTACCCGCCAAACCCCCCTCCCCCCAGGCCAGGTTCCTCAATGCGCCCCCCTACCCAAAAAAACACCCCCTTCCCCCAGGCCAGGTTCCTAAATGCGCCCCCTACCCGCCACACCCCCCCTCTCCCCATGGAGAATGGCAGACCTGCATCACATGTACAAAACAACTACACACCAAGGCATCGGGAGATAGGAATTCCTCACCCCTGCTGCCCCTTTACATACAAGTGATCTCGATGACATAGCCAAGATCACTTGTACAAAGCAAGCGGCTGCTTCCCTGCTGTACATTTAGCCCTGCTTGCCCAAAGCCGGGCTTAATGTAGAAAACAACTACCCGCCCGGCGCCCAGAACTGCATGTCTTGGGTGTTGGGGGATAGGAATTCTACCCCCCTGCTGCAACCCTATTGCCTGCTGCCCCAAGGCCGGGGGCCTCGGTTGGCCCTGTGGGAAATCCGGCCCTGCAGACAGGTTATGGTGGGCTAAAATAAACCAAAAAGTCCCCCACTTCTTTATGTGAGTAACATAGTAGAGTCTGCTAAAAACAGAAGCTATTTGCATGTCTCACTTCCATCACAGAACTAGAAAATAGATTATTTATAAGCTCTACTCCATAGAAGCCATTGTGTCCATACACTGCAATGACGATGGCCAACTAGCCTGGAACAGCTGTATGCAGTTTGGTATTACAAGCTCTTTAAAGGAGAAGTACGGGGTCAGGGCTTTCCCCCATAGTTCTCCTAAGGGTAACGGGAGGACACAAACTAGCGTCCTCCCGTCACCCTAAGCTCAGTATATAGGGAGCTACAGCTCGCGGTATACTGAGACGGATCCCGACATTACCGTTGAGATCCACCCAGCTGCGTGATTGACAGCTGGATCTGCCTATCTAGAGGGAGAGCCAGCTGTACCCGCCCCCTCCCCCGTCCGTTCCGCCAGTCAGCGCTGGAGGATCGGACAGGGGAGGGGGGGGCCCTGCAGGGACATGATCGAGAAGTGAGCAAGCGACGGTATGTGTTCGCTCACTTCCCGATCTATTGAGCCGACCTGTGACAGTCTCATTGTCACACGTCTGCTCGAACTATGAGGATGAGTGATTTTCCCTCGCCTCATAGTTCTCCTTTAATATTATGTGGCATCTGAACTAACATTTAGCCACTTGGGGAAAAAAGGAATGATTTTTATGGCTCCACCCACCTAAAATGCGCAGTATACCCCTTGTTGGAAGTCACGGAAGTGAGACGAGCAGATACCTTCTAAAAAAAGCCCCAAAGACTCACCGCTCCAATACCGCCTCCGACTGTCGGTCAATGCATTCACCGGGGGGCAGTGCAGGCTGCAGTGCGCTCCCACTGCATTAGCAATTTTTGTACAATCAGCCGCACAAAAAACGGGGATCCATAAGAATCTGGAATTTATCTTTATTTTTAAAACTTTACTGTGATAAATTCCAGATAAAATCCAAAGTCAAACATATTATAGCAAATACATCGCCATTGAGGTGTCGGTGTGGGAGAGATACAATGGTGGTGTATTTGCTATAATATGTTTGACTTTGGATTTTATCTGGAATTTATCACAGTAAAGTTTTAAAAATAAAGATAAATTCCAGATTCTTATGGATCCCCGTTTTTTGTGCGTCTGATTGTACAAAAAAAGCAAATACCTTCTGTTTTAATTAGCAAAAAGTTTTCCTGGCACATTCAGCAGCCGGCATGTAAAAAAACTTGTCTCACCACTAAGGTTAAAAACAGAGGTTTGGATACACTTCTTCTGCAGAAAATGTGAAAGCCGCACAGCCGCGCCAAGGCACCTCTTATAGTGCGGTCCTAACTGGAGGTGATCCTGCAGTTCCAGGGCTCCCCTGCAGGTGTCTCCAGGCAGCCAGTGGCTGTCAGGGACCTGAGCGCCTCCAGTTGGCACTGCGACTCTGTGACCAGGTCCTGCACTTCCAGTGCTCACCTGCAGGTGTCAGAAATTAGGCAGCACCTGATGCTGATCTGGGAGCGTATTTAATCCCTCCCTGCAGTGCCACAGTATTGTCGCCATTACCTGATTCCTGGTGCCCCCTTGTACCCTGATCATTGCTCCGTGGCTCCCCTCGTGTTGCATTGCTCCCCAGGTTCACTTGTCCTGTTACCCTTTGTGTGTAATTATGTTGTTTTGTATTTTAGTTGGCTATTATTACTTGCTTGTGGTTACTTGTTTTCAGTGTGTGGAATAAACTATACACCCATAAGCATTGTCTGGTGTAGTCACACATTTAGTCCTCCCGCATAGATACCTGTATGCGGTGTGGGGACACCCGTGCACGGTATCCTGACAGTGATAAAGATGAGATATAGAGACACATTTCCAGGACTCCATTTTATAGTATAGGCAGTGCCGCATTCACTCTCTCTGCTGCCTCAAGGACAGGTTCCTCAATGCACCCCCCTACCAGCCAACCCCCAGGCAGACCTGCAGGCTGCATACAATGGCTTCCCCGCTGCACATTTAGCTCGGCTTGCCTAAAGCCGGGCTAAATGTAGAAAATAACTACCCACCCGGCGCCTGGGAACTACATGTCCCGGGCATCGGGAGATAGGAATTCCTCACCCCCTGCTGCCCCTCTACTCCCTGCTGCCCCAAGGACGGGCCTTGGTTGGCCTAGTGGGAAATCCGGCCCTGAGTATAGGAGAATATTGCGTGCTCTGGTTTTTCCTTCTCTCATTTGTCTTAAGCTGCCCATACACCTTACGATTATCGGCCGATTTTCGTATGCGATCGCGTTTTCGCCCGATATTCGTAAGGTCGATGGTCAGCGTACAACCGCAACTACTGCACAATCGATCGACTTCTGACCAACCAGCAGGTTAGAAAACTTCAGCCGATTTTCGCAAGGTCGGTGGCGTTTCCGTACGTCAAAATCCGTACGACCTGCTCTGCTCATGCGCAGATGAAGTTACGCGCGGTCAATTTACCGCAATGCGTCCAGGTGCTTTCTTCTAATTACCGCTGATTGCAACTTGCGATAATCGTGGCAGGATGGGGCCGCCGTGCGACGGTTCGATCATTGGACGAAGAGCGTCGTCGGATGATCGCAAGGTGTATGGGCAGCTTTAGAGTTCACTCACCTACAACAGGAGATACAATGTGTAAAAGGAAAGACATACGGAGAAGTTTTTCTTAGAACAAACTAAAGGGGCAGCCGTGTGAATAACCGACCCGAAGTGAAGTGAGCCCAACGCTGTTCGGCTATTCACCACCGGCATGCTACTCGTTGCTGGTCGGCCTATTCTCATATGGGGTCGAACAGCATTCGGCTCGGCTATTCTGCTCGGTACCTCTGTGGTGCCGAGCAGAATAGAAAAACAGTTTTAAAAAAGTAGAAAAAAAAAAATTAGGGCTGTGGAAATGAAAGATTCATTGTTAAACTTTTTGATCGATTAAAATAATTTTGATCGCTAATGAAAACACCTCTCACCTCTCCGCCGGCTTCCGGGAGATTCCTTTTTGACTGACGACGGCTCCGATGTCAGAAGAAAAAAACATATTGCCATGTGCCTTCGGCTCGACTGAGCCGCTCGGCCAACTTCGGGATAGTCATTTGTGTCGTTGAATTCCGATGAGATCCATAAACGGGGAATGGGAGAAGCGGATTGGCTGGACACAAACATGAAAATCTCTTTTTGTTTCTCAGGATATAAAATGTTACAAATTTAATCTCCCAAATAAAAAAGGAAATTGTCTTCCAGCCAGCGATGTGACTAATGAAGACTCATCATCGCCGCTCTGTTACGCCTGTCTAGACTTCCTTCAGCATTTGTGTTCTTCAGAAGTAACTCGGAGCTTCCGCTTCTCTCTCCAGAAAAGGTGAATACAAACCCTGCAACCGGGTCACGTGATTGGCTGAGCTCACCGTTCATCCACAGACAACACGGAGCCTCCTCTCTCAAACACTAGCTGATGGTTGTCATGCCGCCCCCGCATCGTGCTGACCTCCAGGAAGATATCAAAGACACAACAGTTCTGTACGGGGCCGCCATCATGGGGGGCCGATACCCATGTAAGCGGGCCCAGGCTGTCTGGGGGGCTCGGGGCCCCTACCAGGGGCGGACTGACTGACCTGACCAAGGCTGGGGGAGCCCACTGACAGGGGAGGAGGAGGCCGGGCCCCAGCAGCAGCGGTCCGGTGGAAGTGGAGGAGGCCGGGGCCCCAAAGTGACAGGTAAGGAGCTGCATGCTCAGGGAAATGGACCCCGACCAGCCCACCTGAGACCCTGCAGAGCTCTACAGGACCTCAGGTGGGTCCAGAGTCCAGTGCGTCGCCAAGTCCTGAGTCCAGTGCGTCGCCAAGTTCTGAGTCCAGTGCGTCGCCAAGTCCTGAGTCCAGCACGTCGCCAAGTCCTGAGTCCAGTGCGTGGCCAAGTCCTGAGTCCAGTGCGTCGCCAAATCCTGAGTCCAGTGCATTGCCAAGTCCTGAGTCCTAACAAGGGGCATGCTGATAGGAGGAGAGCGCAATGTGATAGAAAGATGAACCCACCAGTTTGCTGCTTCTCTTGTCACAGGCCGGGGGATGGACAAGTAGCACAAGGAGCCAGTCAGTTGTGTTGCACTGCTTATGTGCTAACAAAGGGCATGCTGATAGAAGGACAGAGCAGAGTTACAGAGAGATGTCCTCATCATTCTGCTGCTTCTCCTTTCACTGTCCAGTCACAGGCTGGGGGGAGGGGCAAGACCTGTAAGTGTTTCTGAACTGCAGCAGAGAAAAATCAGGTCTCCTCCCCCGCCGGGCAGGGCTGTGCTGTGTAAATCTCATTTTGGGAGTCCATGGGGGTTGTGTTACACTTCCTGGTGGTGACTCCGGCCCGGGTCAGTGCCGGACCTCTGAGCACAGGGCTCCGCTGAACCAGCACCAACCTCATACCACCACAGACGGGAAACCACCTTCTTCCTATCAGATGACATAATAACTCAGCAGCAGCAGTACCCAAATCCTGAATCACGGCGGAGGAAATGCAGACACGTCAGTTTGACATGTTTACAGTCTCTGCGTGTGCGTGTATATATATATGTTACATAATCCTCAGACTGACTGACTGTGATCACATGTACAGTACAAATTCCGGGTGTTCCTCATCTCTGCAAATGGGTTTACTTGTAATAAAAAGCACCAAACATGCCGCAGGAGACGGCCGGAGACTGGGGACATGCTGCAGGAGACGGTCAGAGTTTAGGGACATGCTGCAGGAGACAGCTGGAGACTAGGGACATGCTGCAGGAGACAGCTGGAGACTAGGGACATGCTGCAGGAGACAGTCAGAGACTAGGGACATGCTGCAGGAGACAGTCTGAGACTGGGGACATGCTGCAGGAGACAATCGAAGACTAGGGACATGCTGCAGGAAATAGTCGGAGACTGAGAATATGCCGCAGGAGACGGTCGGAGACTGGGGACATGCTGCAGGAGACAGTCTGAGAGTGGGGACATGCTGCAGGAGACACTCTGAGACTGGGGACATGCTGCAGGAGACGGCCGGAGACTGGGGACATGCTGCAGGAGACGGCCGGAGATTAGGGACATGCGGCAGGAGACGGTCGGAGATTAGGGACATGCTGCAGGAGACAGCTGGAGACTAGGGACATGCTGCAGGAGACAGTCAGAGACTGGGGACATGCTGCAGGAGACAGCTGGAGACTAGGGACATGCTGCAGGAGACGGCCGGAGATTAGGGACATGCTGCAGGAGACGGTCGGAGTTTAGGGACATGCTGCAGGAGACAGCTGGAGACTAGGGACATGCTGCAGGAGACAGACAGAGACTGGGGACATGCTGCAGGAGACAGCTGGAGACTAGGGACATGCTGCAGGAGACAGTCGGAGACTGTGGACATGCTGCAGGAGACAGTCTGAGACTGGGGACATGCTGCAGGAGACAATCGAAGACTAGGGACATGCTGCAGGAAATAGTCGGAGACTGAGAATATGCTGCAGGAGACTGTCGGAGAATGGGGACATGCTGCAGGAAACAGTCGGAGACTGGGGACATGCTACCGGGCCCTGGCGTTCCGCCACTTGGGGGGGGGGCCAGCGAGGAAGAAGGGGGCCCCCCCCCCCCAGAGAGTGCCGCTCGTTCCCTGCCGCACAGCCGCCGCAGCATGTACGGGCAGCTGTGCTGCAGGGAACGGAGAGGCTGTCACCAGCAGAATATGCTGCAGGCACCCAGGGGTGTATCTACTGCAAGGCAAACTAAGCATTTGCCTAGGGCGGCACTTTCCAGGGGGGCGCCAAAAAATGCTGTCCCCCCAAACCAGTTAGGTAAGTGGAAAAAAAAAATGATATTATAAATGATTTATAAATGACTGCCAGTACTCCTGGACCTTGAGCTTCTTTGACTGGGAGACCAACTTGTCCACTAATGCCGCCTACTCCTACATATGTGGCGGCTGCAGCTCCTCCCTCTTCCCGGTCACCGTGCTGTGCAATGTATTGGTGTGTGTGACTTTCATCCGGATGCGCTGGCAGTTCATGCGCCGGACCTCCCTGGGAAACCGGCACCCAAATCTCTGAGTTCAGGCAGCGGAGGAGCTTCCGCAGGACCCCCGGGATGAGATCCAGGCGGCCATCGTGCTCATCGGCACCGCCGTGGTGGTGAGTATACTCCTACATATGTGGCGGCTGCAGCTCCTCCCTCTTCCCGGTCACCGTGCTGTGCAATGTATTGGTGTGTGTGACTTTCATCCGGATGCGCTGGCAGTTCATGCGCCGGACCTCCCTGGGAAACCGGCACCCAAATCTCTGAGTTCAGGCAGCGGAGGAGCTTCCGCAGGACCCCCGGGATGAGATCCAGGCGGCCATCGTGCTCATCGGCACCGCCGTGGTGGTGAGTCCGGGGGAAGTGCGGCCTATAAGCTCCGTGCCGGGTTATGTCTCTAGAGCGGGGCAACCTACAGAGCCCAGCGGCCGAGGCAGGAGATGGGTAACTGCAGAATTAGAGGGCCCAGCATATGAAGGCAGAAGATCGGTGTTGCAGCTGCAGGTTCTGGACTCTAGTGGGGTGAGAGGTTCTGGACTCTAGTGGGGGGGAGAGGTTCTGGACTCTAGTGGGGTGAGAGGTTCTGGACTCTAGTGGGGGTGAGAGGTTCTGGGCTCTAGTGGGGTGAGCTATTCTGGGCTCTAGTGGTGTGAACGGCTCTGGACTCTAGTGGGGGTGAGAGGTTCTGGACTCTAGTCGGGTGAAATGCTCTGGACTCTAGTTGGGTGAGAGGTTCTGGACTCTAGTTGGGTGAGAGGTTCTGGGCTCTTGTGAGATGAGAGGTTCTGGGCTCTTGTGAGATGAGAGGTTCTGGACTCTAGTGGGGTGAAAGGTTCTGGACTCTAGTGGGGTGAGAGGTTCTGGGCTCTAGTGGGGTGAGATATTCTGGGCTCTAGTGGGGTGAACGGCTCTGGACTCTAGTGGGGTGAAAGGCTCTGTAATCTAGTGGGGTGAAAGGCTCTGGACTCTAGTGGGATGAGAGGTTCTGGGCTCTTGTGAGATGAGAGGTTCTGGACTCTAGTGGGGTGAAAGGCTCTGGACTCTAGTGGGGTGAGAGGCTCTGGACTCTAGTGGGATGAGAGGTTCTGGACTCTAGTGGGGGTGAGAGGCTCTGGACTCTAGTGGGATGAGAGGCTCTGGACTATAGTGGGGTGAGAGGTTCTGGACTCTATTGGGGTGAGAGGTTCTGGACTCTAGTGGGGTGAGAGGCTCTGGACTCTAGTGGGGTGAGAGGCTCTGGACTCTATTGGGGTGAGAGGTTCTGGACTCTTTTGGGGTGAGAGGTTCTCAGGGTTCAGTGAAATGGTTTTCCAGGTTATGGGAGAAGTCGTCTCCATGGATACCGCCGAGTCCAGGAAGGTCTCCAGAAGGTAAACAGTGAGTGAAAGGACGAGAATACCAAATGGGTTCCAACTAAGTTCAGGAAGAGCTCCCCGCCCCCCCCCCTTCATCAGGGCTAACGCTGCAAGAGAGTGTTTCCCGTCTGTGGGCGCAGGTCTTGGACTGAACAGAGAAGGAAGTATACGCTGTTGTGTAATGTTGAAAGACATCCCATAGAGGAACTCTTACTGTCCTCATCAAAGTAACGACAGGTCTGAACAACATATGGCCGAGCATCTTCACAGGGGAGGGCGACCCATACCTCGGGGGCACAATATAGAGCAGCTGGTTTGGAGAAGAAGGTGGTGGTCATATGCTGGGGAGATGGAACCATGGAGGTCCATGATGGAGGACTCCTGCCAAAGATCAGAATGGGGACCTGTGTACTTATCTGGGACCAGTTGGGGGTTCAGCTTACTGCCCCTCCAAAGCTTTCAGCTCCCGGGACTGAAGAACGGTTTAGACACATCCAGTCGTCAGGTGGCAGTAGGAGGCCCTGAGTAAAAATCGTAGCTGGAAGTCTCTAATTCCTCCATTAGTCTTAGGAAAATTTTGCAAAATTTGATTAATATTGAACTGGGTTTCATGTCCCAATTGCCTGTTATATATACGTTGTTATGTACACTATATAGCCAGTCCTGAGGGCCCCTCCCCCTCCAAATCATTGGATTCTTCCAACCTTGAAATACCCTGTAGACCTGACTCAATCCCAGGGTGAGGGACTCAATCCTGGGGCTTCCCCTCAATTGAAACAGAAATTAATTCTTCCCCCAAAATATTCCTGAGTATTAATTGTATCTCCAACACAGAAAGACCTCAGATGGGCCGGAATTTCCCTTTTTCAGCGTGCAGCAGAAAAACCACTGCCGGGGCCCTCAGCGAGTCCTTCCTCTAACTCTGCTTCTGAGAAATAATCACCAGGTGAAAACCAGCCCAGCTAATGACTCAATGTTATATCATGTGGAAGCTCCATGCCTGCCTTCCCCGGCAAGCCCATGTGATAGCATAATAGAAATGACAGGTCCTCTTTATTAGACCCCCTATTGCCCCCTATGCACCTCACTGAATCTCATGAGGCGCAGATCACGCTTCACCAGCTTCTTCTCCAGGCCACAGCAGCTGGGCAGAGGATGACAGCCCGAGACCGGAAGTGACGAAAACCTTGTCGTCGCTTTCAGGGTTCAGTAACCAGAGAGGAGGTCAGAGAGGCCAGACACGGATCTCTGCTGACCTCCTTCTGGTCCATCCACAGATATCCGCGGGGCCTGCTTTTCCACAAGGCCAACCAAGGCCCGGCCTCCGGGGCAGCAGGGGTGTGGAATTCCTATCTCCCGATGGCTAGGCAGGTGGTAGTTCTCTACATTTAGCCCTGCTTTGGGCAAGCCGAGCTAAATGTACAGCAGGAAGCCGTGGCTTGTTTAGTACAAGTGATCCCGGCAATGCCTGCAGGTCTGCCATTCTCCAATTGGGGGGGGGGTTGGAGGTTTACCTGGATATCCACCATGCCGGTCCACAGCTCACATAAGGGACAGTGGGCTCGGTATATAGGGTGGTGGATGGGGGAAGTAGCACACATTCAGGGTCATACAGGTGATCAGATGGCTTCACAGCCACCCGGATCTCTTGTATGTGAAGCCAGGAGCCGGCTTGTATGGTGGTCCTAACGTGGCTACATGTCAGCATAACACAGGGGCCCCAGAGCCACGTACAGCATTGTGTGTGTGGCCTCTCATACAGTGGGCGGAATGTTTCAAAACCGGAAGACATCTTCTGAATATGATTAGTTTTGCCAGATTGTTGTATCCACTACAGACAATTCCGCTGCTTCTTCAGCATGCGGATGTTCATCGCCTGAACGGGGCGACGACAAGATTTATAGGGCACGGAAAACGTCCTAGAATCTCCATTAAAAAAAACTCTGGCTCCCGAAGAGCGAAGGGGGGAGGGGCTAATTTCCCAAACATTCGTCTTTATAACATAGCGTGTCTTTTTACGGCATGCATTGGTAGCGCAATTGTCGTTTTTGCACGTAGGCGCACCGACGCGTGTTTTGCGTGTCTATGTGCGTGCACGTGGGGGACGGCGGGGGTCTTAAAAAATTTTTTGTCCATTTCAGAATTTTTCTTATATGTTACTTTCATTTTTAAAACTTTTTAACACTTTATTTTTTTTCCCCCCCCACTAACCCTATTGCTCATACATAGGGAGCTAACAAGCACCCTATGTAATAGCAGACAGGGTGTGACAGGTCCTCTTTTTTGGAGACATCAGGGGTCTTGCAGACCCCTAATGTCACCTAGGGGACCCCAAAGAAGCTGAGGAAGCCAGAGATCCGCTTGCCCAGCTTCATCTCCTGGCTCTAAGAGCCCGAGACTGTGTACAGTGACACCGGAAGTGATGCAATACACATCACTTCCGGGGTCCAGTGATCGGAGGAGAGATCAGCGGCTGGAAGCCGCTTGAATCTCTCTCCGGCCACACCCAAACCAAGAACACGGCTGCTGCAGCAGCCGTGTTCTTGTTTTAGCCACTTCAAAGTGCCGCCGTCTATAGACGTATTGCGGCCCGGAAGTGGTTAAAATCGTTTTTCAATTCTTATTTTCTATTCTACTCAGTACCACGGAGGTGCCGAGCAGAAGAGCCGAGCGGAATGCGGCTATTCACTCGCTGCCGTTCCACCCCTATGAGAATGGGGGCGAACGGCAGCGAGTGAGCTGCCTGAGCGTCGGCTCAGCTGATTCAGATGTTGGGCCGACTGAATGGAAGACCCTCTGCACTTCGGCACCAAAGGCAGCCGATGTACGGATGATTTCAGCCGTACTGAGCCGGAGTGATTAGTCGAACGGCTCACTTCACTTCGGCTGGGTTACTCGCTCGGCAGCTTTGTGAATAACTCCCAAAAGTGGGGGACATTCCCCTCTTATGCAGTTCTCACATGTAGCGGTGAAAACTGGCTAAGAGAGGAATGTCCCTCACTTTTGGAGAGATTCTATGTCACTTCCTGTTGTGTCTCTTGGACAGGAAGTAGAGGGAAATCTCCTCAATGGGATAAATTGCATAAAACTGACAGGGGTTTTAAAGAGGAACCTCACCCATATCTTTGAAATAACAAGAAAGTCACCTTTAGAAATGTTTCGTAACAACAATCTACAAACAGATAATTACCGGCTTTTTATTCTTTACGTACCTTATTTTTCTTCTCCTCCCCGTTCTTCTCACGGCGGCCATTTTTTACTAAGGGCAGATCAATCCATTTCCCTTTACTTCCTGGAACTCTGGCGCATGTGACTAGGACATGTGACCACGCACATCATCTCAGGGGAGGAAAATGCCTTTTCCCTGAGATCTCGTGAGATTACAGATGAGATTTCCCAGCAATGCTCTGCTGATGTCACCTTCCCAGGATGCAACGCATGGGCACATTACATCCGGGGGCCGGATTCCCCACAAGGCCACCGAGGCCCGGCCTCGGGGCGGCAGGGAGCAGAGGGGCGGCAGCGGTTTGAAATCTCCCGATGCCCGGGACATGCAGTTCCGGGCGCTGGGTGGTAATTTGTTTTCTACGTTTAGCCCTGCGTTGGAAATGGATTAATCTGCCCTTAGTAAAAATGGCCGCCGTGAGAAGAATGGGGAGGATGACCGGAAAAGCCGGGCTAAATGTAGACCTCCCATGTTGCACAAGACAGTTTCCAGCAGCAACATAAAGGGCAGTCTTTTAGTTTCGCTCTGTAGCTTTCCACAGCTCCAAGAAACTCGCACTGCTCACCCCTCGTGAGCAGTCACTCTGCTTTCTCAGCAGTGCGCCCAACAGGTCCCTTGGGTCACCGACCTTCCTGACCTCTCCAGGACTGGAGATCTCATCTCACCCAGAACTCTGAGGCTCTGTTGACACCTGGGCGTATCGAATATGCGCGTGTGACGCGCATTTTTCCCGCGCGTTTCCAAGGGCTACTTGGCTGTATCCCATTGGAAACGCTCGACAAAAACGCAGCAAAGAAGCTCCCGTACCTTTTCAGGCGTGGGCCGTTTTGTAGAGCGTTCAGACGGGCTGAAATATGGCAAGGTGTGAACCGTACCCATAGAAAACAATGGGATTTTCATTTTTGAGCGTTTTGTAGAGCGTTCGTAGAGCGCTGACCGCGCTACAAAACGTTCAGGTGTGAACCGGGCCTAAAGGTGGCCATACACTTTACAACCATCGCAAGACCTTAGTCTTGCGATGGTTGTAAAGTGATTAAAAAAACGTACGATCTGCCCATCTTGGACAGGCAGATCGCACTCTCGATCATCGCAAGCCACGCCCCCCCATTGTTGCGCGTTTCCATTGGGATACAGCCAAGTAGCCTTCGGAAACGCGCGTTTGTCGCGCAACTTTTTTACCGCGCATCGCGGTAAAAAAAACGCGCGACGGACGCGCATATGCAATACGCCTAGGTGTGAACGAGACCTTAGTGGCCTGCTTGTTCGACAACTGCACGCGCATCCTGCCCGTTTGCAGCGTTCGAAGCGGGGGCGGGCTTTCGATGATCGCGAGTACGACCTGCCCGTCCAAGATGGGCAGATCGTACGAGCTTTCAATAAGCTTACCACCATCGCAAGAACAAAGTCTTGCGGCGGTCGTAAGGTGTGTGGGCACCTTTCGTGATCTCCAGAGCTCCAGATGCCGGCTACAATTAGGAAAACCTGGAAGGACCTGAAAAGCCAGGCGCTTCCTTGTAACATGGTTCACATTCTGGACCCTCTCAGCCCCCTTTGGCTGAGAGTCCCGGGTGCCAAAGCCGCCATACTACACCGCGGCATCGCCATGCACTGCCACACGATATCATTGCACTGTGTGTACTCTATATCGAAAACCAATAGAACTGAAATAATGAAAAGAACTGAGGAAGATAGCTGGCTGAGCAGCGACATATCTTCAACATTACAGAACAAGTCCAGTTCGCTATATCTGTCCATGTATTCATCATTATTATTATTAGCTGCTTTATTTTTATTTTTTTTGCATTTGTCAAGAAAAAATAACAGCAAGTAGCCGAAGGCACACAACCACATTTCCCCCCACTTGTGCTCTATTATATATATATTTTTTTTTTTTAAATGGTTGAGAGATGGGAGATGGGAAAGAAGAGAACAATAAATGGGGACCATCGAGATTTCCAGTGGTGTCCTGTAATTCCGCTGTGTCAGAAGCTTTGTGTCACGATCTGGGATCAGGCTCAGAGTCCAGCAGGCAAATTTGTGGTATAACAGGCCGGGTTCGGTACACAAGCAGACGGTAGTGGTGGAGGAGCAGGCAGAAGCGTACTCAGCGAACAAGCCGAGGTCAGTAGCCAAAGGTATCGGGTACGAAGCAGAAGACGATGAGAGTAGTCGGTGAATCAGCAGCCAAAGGTCGGTACACGGGTAGCAGTATGAGCGGATTGTATCGCAGAGGGAGCAGGAAGCAAGATATTGGCAGGAGCACAATAATCTGGCAAACAGGAAGTGCAGAGGCGTGGCTAAAATAGGAAGTTCAAGGGAGGAGCAAGGAGTTCAGAGTTCAGCAGAAACTAGGTTTACCTGAGGATCACACAGGAGATCAGGCAAGGAGCTATCCAAGGTTCTAAGGTGGCTCAGCAGGTAGAACCACCAGCAGCTAGTAGTAGGTGAATCAGCAACCAAAGGTCGGGTTCGGTACACAAGCACAGGGTAGTAGTGGAGGAGCAGGTAGAAGCGTAGTCAGCGAACAAGCCGAGGTCCGGAGCCAAAGGTATCAGGTATGTAGCAGAAGACGATGAGAGTAGTCGGTGAATCAGCAGCCAAAGGTCTGTACACGGGTAGCAGTATGAGAGGATTGTATCGCAGAGGGAGCAGGAAGCAAGATATTGGCAGGAGCACAATAATCTGGCAAACAGGAAGTGCAGAGGCGTGGCTAAAATAGGAAGTTCAAGGGAGGAGCAAGGAGTTCAGAGTTCAGCAGAAACTAGGACATTAGGCAAGGAGCTATCCCAGGTTTCAGAGTGGCTCAGCAGGTGGAGCCACCGCCAGACACAGCAGAGGCCGCGGGTTCAGATCCGGTCCTGACACTGTGACCAGTTCTGACAACGTGTCGTCACAGCTGACCCCCGCTCCTTGAGACTGAATTGTATTGATAATAACAAATCTTCCGATGCTTTCTTCCAGCATTTTAATCCTCTCCATGAATCCGGGCTTTCCTTCCCGCTTCTCTTTTTCGATGAGCAGCCGGATGTAATCCACGGCAGACATGGGGTTGGGTTTTAAGGCGATCTCCTGGAGGTGTCTGAGAATCCTGGCAACTTTCTGAATAATTTTCAGCGCCTCATCCGCGGCCTTCTTAATCTCGTTCTTCAGCTTCCTGAGAACATCCGCCGGAGTCATCGCCTTGTTCTCCTCCTTTTCAAATTTTTCTTTTACATCTAAATAGCTTTTCCTTTGGGGCTCCACCATAATTTCCCAGTAAGACCTTTCTGTGCAGTGTGCACTGGAGTCATGCCCACACACGCAACACGTTCCGCTGATATTAAAAACTTCGCAAAAATAAACAAAGGGGTTGAAGTAGACGAGGCAATCATGGTGGCACGTGGAGTTGCACTCTCCGCAGTTGGTTGAGTTTACGGACGAGACGACCTTTCTTTTGACAGATTGCGTCACTTCGAACTCAAAACGCTCATTTACTTCGATCTCCTCCTTGTTTTCCTCCAGAGCTCTCTCCGTTTGCTCCAGTTCGTGCTGTTTAAACATCAACTCTTCGATTTTTTGGACGAGCCCATCCAAGGTTACCTCCAAAGCATTTCTATCCGCTAGGACTTCCCTTGTTAAACTTAAGTCTTTGCTGACTATTCCAGGCAAAAATTGTATGAGAAATCTCTCAATGTTTCTCATTCCCATCTTCCACTGTAGTTGATGGGCCATGTAGACGCAATCATCCACTTCATCGGGGCAGTTATTTGCGTACGTCATGCAGTTGTTGACCTTGAAGTACACAGGTTGTCCATCTTCGGATCGTTTACAGGGAACGTCAGCCTCAATGATTGCTGAGAGAACTTTTGGCTCCTGGACATCTGAAAAGGTGGTGAAGAAGACTATATTCTCCTTGATGTCCTTCCCAAAAATGGATGAGATGTTCTCATAGATGTACTTCTGTGTTGGAGTCAACCGAGCCAAAGAAGACTGAACCACGAAACAAATGGCATCGATTTCAGTGAATGGGCATTTACGAAAAAATTCTCGTATCTTCCTCATGATTTTCTCGTCATATTGTATCCCTCTGGTGTCTCCGAACCCCGGAGTGTCAATGATGGTTATGGAGTACGGGATTCGGAATTCATCTTCGTGGTTGATCTGGTAGATGGTGACACCAGATGTTTGGCTGTGGGCTTGACTCTTCTCACTACTCTCCGCAATCAGCTGGATCCGGTGGTCGTCCATCCACTCCACACCAAAGATGAAGTTGATCATGGTATTGATCAGGGTCGTCTTCCCAGATCCGGTCTCACCAACCATCATGATCACTTTGTTTTCCCCATCGGCTTTCGCTGTTCCAAAATTCCATATCTTCTGACAATTCACATGTTCCATTCTCATCCTGTAAATGGTCAGAGGTCCGGCCTTGTCTTTGCTGCTCAGGTATTTGTTCAGTTTCCGAATTAGAGATCGTTGACGATCCACCACCATAGATGGGGGGCGCTCGGTACCTACCAAATTAACATAGAAACAGTCATTGATGGTCAATGTTACAACTCAGCAAACATTGAATATTGTACACAAATGCTAACGTACAATGTGCAGGTGAAGTGCATCTGAACCCAAAAGCAAAAATGTGATATATTGCAGCTTACCAGTCCATAGATGTTTTATTACCACACTTCCTGTGCTAGGGTGGCTACACTTACTCTTGTAACGCTCCCCTCGAAGGAGCTGCTGGAATGCCCAGCTCATCTCTAGTCTGTCTAGGGCAGGAGTCAGCAACTTTAAACACTCAAAGAGCCATTTGGACCCGTTTTCCACAGAAAAGAAAACGCCGGGAGCCACAAAACCCTTTTGACATCTAAAATGAAGATAACACGTCATGTATGGTTTTTTACCTTTATGTTATGTATAGCATGTATATAGGTATATGTGGGCTTAGTAACGCGCTGGACTCCGGGCTTAGTAACGCGCTGGACTCCGGGCTTAGTAACGCGCTGGACTCCGGGCTTAGTAACGCGCTGGAAAAAGTGTGAATTCAGTCTGAAGGTAAAGGTTGGAGGGTTGTGATGTTTTATTGAACATAATAACCAGTCTGTCTCTGGTGAAAAAGTTTTACATCCACCTCAGAATCCTCAAACTCTGCGGTTCTTTTTTTCCCCTATAAGCCGTATAATGCAGACAAATAAATACCGTATTCCATTCAGCATAACAAGCTAATCCACACACTTACTTTTCCTATACAACAGCAGCCTCTTGTGTCTAATCAGAATCAGTGCAGTCAATGAAAACAAAATCTTTCTGAAAAGGCTGCAAAATATTGAAATTAAACCAAATCTGTCATATGAGATGCAAGCTGACAGTTACAAACTTGGTCAGCTGGAAAAAAAAGTCAATCTAATTCAACCAATAGAAGAAAAGGAATGATTCATTGAACATCTACATATACAGAACCGCATAACCACTGTTGATCCAGAGGAAGGCAAAAAACCTTATAAAACATGATCCAATTTGCTCCCACATCAGGGGTCAGCAACCTTAATCAATCAAAGAGCCATTTGGACCCGTTTCCCACAGAAAAAAAACACCGGGAGCCACAAAACTTTTTTGACATCTAAAATTAAGATAACACGGCATATATCGTTTTTTTACCTTTATGCTCTGTATAGCATGTATATAAGTATATGTGGGCTTAGTAAAGCACTGGAGTCTGGGCTTAGTAACGCACTGGACTCTGGGCTTACCTGAGACCCTGCACAGCCCATCTGAGACTATGGTGGGCTCTGCAGGCCCTCAGGTGGGCTGCTCGCCGGGGTCACATTCCCCTGTACCTCCTCCCAACTCCTCTTACCTGCTGCTGCTGGGGCCTGGCCTCCTCCACACCCTCCCCGTCACCTCTGCCATGCCGCCCCTGGTACAGCTCATACTCATGTAAGAGGCCCCCCAGGCTGCCCAGACCCCTCACGTGGGTACCGGGCCTTACCCCCCTGATGACGGTGTTCTATCAAAGTTTGTGACTACATTACAATGTGTGACTGGTGACCTGGTCACACATTTCAATGTGATCCTGCCCAGTTTTTTTTAGGGGTGGAATGTGTGACCGCCAATAGGTGAAGCATTTCAACGCTTTCTCAGCTGTTTCAGGGCAGATCGGCAGTGCAAATCGTATGTGCAGGAGAACCGATCTGTCCTGGTACAACTGATCGGTCCTGAAATGTCACTTCTCTCCGACTGCGATCTCACATTCCACCCCACTCACAAAGTCGGATAGAAGTGCCCAGGACCGGACCTCACTGGGGCCACCCCCCACACAGCCTCAGGCCCCGAGGCCCCGGCGCTAGTTCCGCCCCTGGACAGGGAGCCGCAGCAGAGGGATGAAAGAGCCACATGCGGCTCCGGAGCAGCTGGTTGCTGACCCCTGGTCTAGGGTATGATCTTCAGCTGCCCACCCATTAGCACTATCCGCCCTTCTTCTATTTCCCACAAAAGCTGATGTGCACTCTGGTAGTATAATGCTAAATAACTTTGATTGAACACCTTTACTGGGGGAGAGAGGGTATAGGGGTTCTAAGCTTCCAGGGTGTAACAGGCATAGACTCCAGACTCACCAGACCTGGTTGGCTTATCAGTGTAGATCCACTTGGGAGACAGCGGATAGCAACTGAAGTAGCAGATGAGCACGGATGAGCACAGATCCTCAACAGGAGAGACACCGGCCATGCTCCTGAAGTCCTTTAAGTTCCTGGAAACTTCAAGAGCCGCCCTTGGTCCTGGGTCTCTTCCTCTGACAGCAACACAGACCTCCTCCATGTTGGAAGCCTCAGGGAAACGTTTCCCTCACACCAGCCTGTGGGGCAGGCTGAACAGCACCCAGCCCTATTCCATGGCTGGTCCCCGGCTAGTCGGAGCACATGGCAAATCCCTCCAGTATATGTACCCTATCCCAGCATGCACCACTGGCTGAGAGAAACCCAGTGATTGGCTGCTGTGCTGTACATACACTACAGTGTCTCTCATCAGACACGGAGAATTAACCAGATAATTGCCACTATAATCCAACCAGGCCAACTACAGCCCCCGGCAATCACTAAATGTCTAGTAGCCACCTCACAGAAGGTGATGGCGGCTACACTCTCTACATTGTATCGAGGGATCCATGGTTATGTCCAAAAAGAGGGGAATCAGGGTCATCCAAAAATTTGTGTGAATCCGTAATGTCATCAATAAGCATAAAAAGAACATCTCAGACCAACATCTCTACCATTTCTGGGGATGGGTGGCTACACTTGCTCTCTATATTGTATCTATGGAGGAAGCCAGGGTTATGTCCATAAATAGGGGAATCGCGCTTCTCCAAAAATCCTTGTGAATCCGTAATGTCATCAATAAGCATAAAAGTAACATCTCAGACCAACATCTCGAACGATTTTCCCGAGAAACTTGTGCTTAAAGGAGAACTATGGGGTTCAGTCTTTCCCCCATAGTTCTCCTTAGGGTAACGGGAGGACACAAACAACCACTATGATTTCAGTTTACAGGCATTGTTTCAGGTAAGACAGTTCCTGATTGGTGGCTCTGGGTTACTATTCCTCTTCTTATGTTACCGCTGTCCTGTGTGCTGCTTTTTTTTTTTTTTTTTTGTGAGTAACCGAAAACATTTTTTTTTTTTGTGAGTAACCTAAAACAAACCTCTGAACTTTTTTTCCTTGCGACAAAAATCGATGAATGAAGGCAAGCCGTGCTGATTGGGGAAAGGCGGTACAATCGCAGAGACAGCACAGTTGATAGATTGGGGTCAATTCACAAAGCTTATTTTCTTCATTTTGGCCGTTATTTCATTGATATCGCCTGTTACATAGTTACTGTGTAAAGGTGGTCGATTCACAAAACTCAAAAACGCTTATTTTTAAGAAGTGGTAAATTAACTATTCGGACGTTATTTTAACAACTGGAGTGATAAGATAGAATGCTTTTGCATACAGAAGAAGAAGGAGGCGGCATGTAGTTGTGGTCAGAGTTACTTCGGTTTCCGAATCTTCATGACCCCTACTGATACCAACCTGATGTGTGCCATGATTTTGTGGTCAGCGTGCCAAATAAGTGGGCACGCTCTAGTGAAATGATAGAACCTGGGGAAGGTCGGGAGGGTCAGACGCGACTTCGCCGTGACGTGACGAGGAGCTCCCAGTCCCCCTTCTTAAGGGGAGGGGAGCCGGCGCAACTCCTCCCACAAACACGGCCAAGATGCCTTGGCCTATTACTTGTCATTTCTACAGTTTTTATCCTTCTACAAATGTAGATGATTTTATTTTACAGTTAGAGGTTAGTGACAAATCTCACGTGACACGAAAAATCAAATGTCCCCGGGACACCCTTCAGTGGGGTTGTAGAGCAAGTGAATTGTTCCATGCAACATATTTAATATCAAGAATACCTGGTAAGGAGAAGTGCTTGCCCTCCCTACACTGTCTGATTGTCAACAGATGTAGATCTAAATAAATGTAATGTTTCATATATTCATTCCGTTCAGAAAAAATGTTATTGTTATTTCTATATGATTTCTTCTCTACCCAATTTAAAATTAGTACGCATGTGGCGCATACGGAATATATTCCTTCCTTATATGTGGAATCCTTTTGTGTGGTAAAAGTATAACGGTCATTTGGACATCTGCTCCACCCCTTCTGCTACCAAAATGCACTGCAAAAGTGTTAAAATAACACCCAAAACGTTATTTTATCACAGTAATAGATCAAATAAAGTCTGTGATGCTAAAATAACACTTGTTTAAAAGAGAACTATGAGGGGGAGGGGCTTTTCACTGACCTCATAGTTCTAGCCGACCTGTGACAATGAGACTGTCGCAGGTCAGCTCAGTAGATCGGGAGGTGAGGGCACACATACCGGCGTTCGCTCCCCTCTCGATCCTGTCACGGCTCTCTGCCGGGACAGGGGAGGGGCTGGATTCCCTTCTCCCCGCTCCGATCTGCCAGCGCTGACTGGCGGAACGGACGGGGGAGGGGGCGGGTACAGCAGGCTCTGCCTCTAGATAGGCAGAGCCAGCTGTCACTCACGCAGCTGGGCGGATCCAGGCACAATTGTCAGGATCTGCGTCAGCGGCGGCGTCTCAGTATACCGCGAGCTGTAGCTCCCTATATACTGAGCCTAGGGTGACGGGAGGACGCTAGTTTGTGTCCTCCCGTTACCCTAAGGAGAACTATGGGGAAAGCCATAACCCCAATACTTCTCCTTTTAAGCAACGTTAAACTGCGTGTGCATTCACGATTCCGGCTTTTGTGAATTGCACGTTTCAGCCAGTAAAATAAAGAGTGGTAAAATAAGGAGAGATAAATGAACTTCTACTCTCATAACGCTGAGCTTTGTGAATTGATCCCACTGTTGCAATTTCTTATTTTGTCAAAAAACAATAAATACATGAAAGTAAAAAAGGGAAGTGAAAGCAAAGTGTGCGACCTGTTTCCCTTTCCCCGTCATCACACTCATTTTCTGAGACAGTTGAATGGGGGATGTTATGGAAAAGAAAATAAAACACCGGGGCGCCTGACCTGGTGCAATGATCCTTTAGTTGATGAAAATAGTTTTAAAAAAACAGACACTTTGGGGGTGATTTACTAACCTAAACACATGCACGCACCAGGTGCGTGTGATTTTCACACAGCAAAACATATTTATCAACCAAAAAGTCTCTAAAAGCATATTTCCACTAATGCCATATATGGAAAAATCATGCACATGATGCATATATAATTCTGCTTCACAGTTTAGACAGAAATGGTTAGCTCATGCATTTACATTCCTGCATTCATCAACGCAAAAAACACAACGTAGAGCTAATTTACACAACATCACCTTGCAATTCATGCAGGGCTTTGCACAACACACCTGCTGGGTGTGTACACACTACAAAGGTGTTTAGATTCCACCAATAGATCATACTGGGAGGGAACACACTACAGAGGTGTATACATGTTTGTGGCGTGTTTATAAGGTTAGTAAATCAACCCCTTTGTATTCACAAACGAAGCAAGAAAAATGTCACATCGGACTTGTAGTGCTCACTGAGTAAACTGCTGTGCAAATGGACGAATAGTCCGGGAGCTCTGCTGGATGCAGGGTCTCGCTACCACTTAGCTAAACGCATTTTCGGGGAACTTCCAGTTGTATTCACAAACAAAGCAAGAAAAATGTCACATCGGACTACTCAGCTACTCAGCTCTGAAGAAGTGGAAGTTCCCCGAAAATGCGTTTAGCTAAGTGGTGGCGGCAGGGCGCAGAGGGGCGGCAGCGGTGTCCTTGTGGGGAAGTTGCCCTCTCTACATTCAGTCCTGCTTTGCACAAGCCGAGCTAAATGTAGAGTGAGGCAGACGATTTTTCGTTTGCATGTGAACTCGGCGATGTCGCCGAGATCACATGTAAACAGTGTGCAGCCGGTCCGTCCGTCCTCCCCTCCCCCTTGCACTTACCTCTCTCCTTTGGTTCCGTCCTCCGCCACCGAGTCTCTCCTCACTGCAGGGAGCAGAGCGGCCGGGTTATAAGTAACCGTGCCGCTCCGTATACACAGTGAGAGGGGAGAGCTGTGCCGTGCTGTGCCGTGCCGGGCTGTGCCGTGCTGTGCTCTTCCTCTCTCACCTGTCACAGGAGTTCCAGCGCAGTGCTGTGCTAGAACTCCTGTATTGGAGGTGACAGGGGTCAATAAAGAGAACCTGTCACCTCCAATTGCTATCACACAGTAATAGCAATAAAGTTACGTGAAAAAAATTAAATTGATTAAAAAAAACTAAAAAATAATATGAAATAATTAAATAAAAAAATTAAAAGGTGATTAAAAAGTAAAAAAAATTTATAAGAAACAAATTATAAAAAAATGAGAAAATAATTATAAAAAATAAACAATAATAAGATATTGTTGCAGAACCTGGCCTTGGGGCGGCAGGGAGAGTAAATCCGGCCCTGAATGTGGAGACTGTTATCAGTAAGTGATTGATATCATTGATGGAACAGACACAGATCTTACATAGTTACATAGTATTTGAGGTTGAATAAAGACACAGGTCCATCAAGTTCAAACCTTTGTGTGTCTGTGTGTGATTGTGCAGGTGTGTGTGATTGTGCATGTGTGTGAGTGCATGAATCCCTGTGTGGTCTAGTTTTTTTAAGAGTACCTGTCCCCCTGTACGTTGCGGTCTCTGAGGAAATTGTCTAAATGCTTTTTGAGCGATTCAATACTCTCAGCCGATACCACTGCTTGCGGCAGCGAGTTCCAGACCGTAACAGCTCCAACTGAGAAGAATCCCCTCCGCCCCCTTGTGGTTAAATCTTTTCTCCACCAGTATTAGGTGATGGCCTCTCGTCCTTGTTACCGAGTTTAAAGTAAAAAGTTTATTTATCTTTGATTTAATGAAAACATTAGAAGCATAATAAAGTATACCTGACCATAGAGAACAGATATCTCCATCGAAAAACACTCTGCATGGAAAGGGGGGGTCACTGGATGTCGATGCCCAAAGTGTGGGACCCACCCAAACCTGAACCCCATGTTTTTATCATTGTAGAGTAATGATCAGACTCTGGAACAAAGCTGGCTGGGTGAGCGCATTGGAAGGAAGACATGTGAAAATATCACATTCCTATCTTTTACTGGTGTCAGGGGGTACCATGCGCGGGTGTCCGCCGCACACCGCATGCAGGCACCCACACGGGAGGACCAAATGCGTGACCACACCAGACAATGCCAATCAGCTTATAAATGTAGAGTTTATTACAGACACCGAAATAAAGTCACCACAAGCAAGTAGTAACTTGCAAATACAATCACATACAACAGGGTCAGTGAAACGTGGGGAGCGAGGCAACACAAGGGGAGCCACGGAGTAATGTTCAGGGTACAGGGAGGCACCAGGACTCAGGACTCGGTTAACGGCCACAATACTGTGGCACAGAGGCATAACTAGAAACCTCAGGGCCCCGGTGCAAGAAAGCATTTATATCCCCCCCCCCCCCCAAAAAAAACCATGATTTTGATACCTTTTTTTTTCCAAACCGGTTTGAAAGGGTTTTTTTTAACGTTCTTGCATATATCTACTGCTTGATAGCCGTACATATATGCAACAACACCTGAGGGGTTAGAAACACTTTAAAGCAGCTCCCAGCAGGCAGACACTCTCTCCCATACCTTACCAGGGCTGCGGGAGGTCTGAGCAGGCATACGGGCGGTCTCACCAGGGCTCTGCATGGCCTCGGGTGACAGATTGCAGGGTTAGGGCTGCTGGTCCTCTCTCTTCCCCCTCTGCCTGACACTGCTCCTAGATTCCTCCCCCTCGTTCCCGGGGCCCTCAGGTGCAAAGCTGGCCCTGGCAGTGCCTGCAGAGCGGCGGGAGGAGAGAGGGAGCCGGTGTTCTGTGGGGACTTAGGCCTGGTTCACACCTGGGCGTTTTGTAGTGCGTTCAAATGCTGTGCAAAACGCTCAAACACGGAAATCCCATTGTTTCCTATGGGTATGGTTCACACCTGGGCGTATTTCAGCCCGTCTGAACACGCTACAAAACGGCCTACGCCTACGTACATGTACTTCTTTGGGGCGTTTTGGTCGCGCGTTTCCATTGGGATACAGCCAAGTAGCCCTCGAAAACTCGCGAACCGCGGTAAAAACGCGCGACGCGAAACGCCTAGGTGTGAACCTAGTCTTAGAAGGAACACCGGTGAGAAGGTAAATCACCCCGCCATCCATCCTGATGCTGTCGTATGCTCCCCCCCCCACTCACTGCTCTGCTCGGACAAGCTTAGGTCCGTCAGAGCAGGCTGATGCATAGCGTCGGGCAGGTTAGTGCCCGAGGCTATGTATCGGGCATAGCGAGCCAGGCCGTACACAATCAAGATTGTGTGCGGGCCCGCTCCTTCCTCTCTGGGCCCCCCTCAACAGGCGGAATGCCAGGGCCCGGTCGCGATTGCGACCGTTGCGACCCTTGTAGTTCCGCCAGTGCTGTGGCACCGGGCTCACTGCAGTGAGGGATTAAATACCCTCCCAGATCATCAGCAGGCGGTGCAGAGACACCCGCAGGTGAGCACTGGAACTGCAGGTCCTGGATCCAACATCACAGTGCCACCTGGAGGTGTTCTGGTCCCTGACAACTGGAGATTTAATCATCTTAATTATTTTAATAACATTCCAGGAACTAATGAAAAGCTGTCCTGAAACATTCCACAAATCACTAACATGACACAGCAGATTTCAAGGTTTTTCATCAAGGAATCCTACGAGTGGGCTCTCATTTGGGCTGAAAGTCGTCCAAAATTAAAGCCATGGGTGACCCCGCAAGCACACCCGAATCAGCAAAAGTCTATTTAAAAGCCGATTGCAAATTATTGCCCAATTTCCATAAAGGAATCCTACAGCATGTTGAGAAGAAAGTCTTCTAATGGGGTAAAGATAAATTTAAATGAGAACTATGGGGTCAGTGCTTTTCCCCCCATAGTTTTCCTCAGGGTCACAGGAGGACATAAACTAGCGTCCTCCCGTCACCCAAAGCTCAGTATATAGGGAGCTACTGTCCAGATCCGCCCAGCTGCGTGATTGACAGCTGGCTCTGCCTATCTAGAGGCAGAGCCAGCTGTACCCGCCCCCTCCCCCCCCTCCTCCGTTCCGCCAGTCAGCGCTGGATGATCGGAGGGGGGGAAATCCCTGCAGGGAGTCGTGAGTGACAGTCACCGCTTTCTGCAGTGACAGGATCGAGAAGTGAGCGAGCGCCGGTATGTGTTCCCTCACTTCCCGATCTATAGAGCCGACCTGTGACAGTCTCATTGTCACAGGTCGGCTCGAACTATGAGGAGCGGAAATCACTTGCCTCATAGTTCTCCTTTAATAAACACCAGGAAATACATGGAGACACATTCCCTGACCTCCGTATCATATTATCAGAGTCTCTGATGTATTCTTGGTTTTCCTTCTGTCTCTTGTCTCCGGGTTTTCTCACCTACGACGGAGGATATGTAAAAGGCCAGAAACACGCGGGAGGTTTTGATGTCCAGTTTTGGAAACAATAAAGTAAAAAGAATTCTAATCACCAGTCTGGATGTGGATCTGACATGAGAAATCCATCAATAAATCTGCTGGAAGATGTTTCATTTTAAAGAAGAACTATGAGGGGGGGAGGGGGGGGGGCTTCTCACTCCTCCTCATAGTTCTAGCCGACCTGTGACAATGAGACTGTCACAGATCGGCTCAGTAGATCGGGAAGTGAGGGAACACATACCGGCGTTCGCTCACCTCTCGATCCTGTCACTGCTCTCTGCCGTAACAGTGGAGGGCCTGGATAGGCAGATAGGCTCTAGATAGGCAGAGCCAGCTGTCACTCACGCAGCTGGACGGATCCACACATAATTGTCGGGATCCGCTCTGGCGTCTCAGTATACCGCGAGCTGTAGCTCCCTATATACTGAGCTTAGGGTGACGGGAGGACGCTAGTTTGTGTTTTCCCGTGATCCTAGGGAGAACTATGGGGGGAAAGCCCTGACCTCATACTTCTCCTTTAAAGTGACAATAAAGTAAATTTTTCCCCCTCCCCCCAATGTTAATGTCAGCACTTACCTTAAATGATGTCTCTAAGCCCTCGTTCACACCTGAGCGTTTTGTAGCGCGTTCTACGCTTGACGAACGCTCTACAAAACGTTCAAAAATATAAATCCCATTGTAGTCAATGGGTCTGGTTCCCACATTGGCGTATTTACGCCCGTCCCTAACGCCCTACAAAACGGCCCACGCCTGAAAAGGTACAGGTACTACTTTGGGCCGTTTTGTTGCGCGTTTCCATTGGGATACAGCCAAGTAGCCTTCGGAAAGGCACGACGGTCGCGCAACTTTTTTACCGCGAATCGACAGACGCGTATATGCAATACGCTTAGGTGTGAACGAGACCTTAATCCGATCTTCTTCTTTCCCGTCCTTTTCCTCTGTCCCTCCAGCGCTGACTCCTCTGAGCTTGCTGGCACTTCCTGTCCCACGGTGTCTGCATGCGGGTGCACGCCGACTTACCTTGCGTCTCTCCTCGCGTCCCGGACGAAAATGTGAACTGCGCATGCGCCCGAGATGCTTTGCGGCCGCCCTAACATCTTTCCATTTTTCGGTCGGGAGCTCGCGGAGAAAACACGGGTAAGTATTAACCTCTGTTAAAGCGTTTTTATTTGTTTGCAGCTCCGCGTGCCGAGCCCGCCAGGAAAGCTGACAGCGCCGCAGCGCCAATTACAGGTACTGAGACATTATGCCGGGTCCGCAGCTGCAGAAATCGGGATAATGTCTCAGTGCCTGTGATTGGCGCTGTCAGCTTCCTGGCGGGCTCGGCACTTGGAGCTGCGAACGCGCCCGAGCCCATCACTAATTATCCTTCAAGGGTTTGCAGTAATTTGTGTCATTTCGAATTCCGATGAGATCAATAAACGGGGAATGGGAGAAGCGGATTGGCCGGACACAAACATGAAAATCTCTTTTCTTACTCGGGATATAAAATGTTACAAATTTCATCAACCAAATAAAGGAGAAACCGCCTTCCAGCCAGCGATGGGACCAATGAAGACCAAATGGACTCATCACCGCTCTGTTATTTTGTATTGGATCCGGAGATGTCTCCTGCTCTGATCCTCCCATCTTTTAAGCTCGGCATGTACAAAGCAGGACTGAATGTAGAGAGAGCAACTTACCGCCCGGCAGCCGGAACTTCCCCACAAGGAAACCGCTGCCGCGCCTCGGCGCCCTGCTGCCCCTCGGCCGGGCCTCGGTGGCCTTGTGGGGAATCCGAGCCTGATGGTAACCCAAAGGAAGCTCATCAGATACCTGGAAAAACCTACCAAACCCGTGTAAGAGACTTACCTGCAAGCTGGTCCCTGCCCATGTGCATGCAATCCTATGCTAAAAGTTCCGGCCAAACACGCTATGGCAAGTAGACGTCATATATGCGCAATAGTGCATGTATGTTAGCGCATGGACGCGCACTTGTTAGCGAGCACACTTCCTCTGTTCAAAACAGACAGAAGCCACTATCAAGTTGCTGAGTGGTCATCAGCTTGTCCATGTGTGCCCTGCATTCTGTTCCTGCGTTCCTGATCTCCGGCTTGTGACCATTGACTCCACCTCCTCCTTCCGATCTGGTACCTGGACTCTCTGCTCTCCCGTGTATGATCCTGGCTTACGATTCCTGACCTTGCTCCTGATATGTCATTCGGCACTTCGTGATTTTGCTTCCCATGTATGACCCCCGCCTCTGGACCTGACTTGGCTTGCCGCTTGGTGCCTTGTCCCACCAGTACTCTGGGCCACCTCATCCAGTTACTGCTTCCCCGTCTCCACCCCTATTACCTGATCCAGTTCTGAGAGATCCTGCTGTCATCCTGGTCTTACAGACTCACCAGCTGGTCCAACATGCTCAAGCACCTCTACGAAAACCCAGCCAGCCACCACTACCAGCGCCCGTGCCTCTCCCTGTCCTTACATCCCATCACCATCTCCAGAGGTGCGGGACGAGAGGTGCACGGGTAGCCCCCTTCTCAGTTGGGTCTCCATTCAGGTACATGATAACCTGCCACCTTCCCCCGACCTCCGCAGAGTACCCACTCCATATTTACCCCCATCCGGGGCAATTTTAAATGCTTATGACCTTTATAGTGTGGTTTAGTTTTGGCTGTTCAGTTCTAGTGAGAGGTTTGCAGTGCTCGGACCCAGGAGAGAAGGATCTCACCATTGTGATGGCGCCATCGGGCCGCAGCTGTGGTTGTGTGGGAAGTGTAAGTTGCATGTGACAGCAGAACTACACAGACACAAACAATTCAGAATTTCACAATCACGGGGGAGTAAATGCCGCCAAATCAGTTTCAGTTTTCATACATACCAGCAAAAGCGAGTCCATCCCAGAATTTACCCCAGGAGAGCAGGAGATGTAATGACCCAACAAGTAGGACAACTGCCCATCCCTCACCCTCGGTTCTTCCTTCATCCTTTCACATAGGCTCATGGACCTTCAGGGAGGAACCTGTCAGGACAGAATTATGAGACCTGCTGGGACAATCGGAGGGTCAGATCTTCAGGCCCGGCGCTACCGCAAGGCAAGTCAGGCGGCCGCCTGAGGGCGCTGCAGGGTGAGGGCGGAAAAAACAGGGCATTTTGACAAGTACTTGCACTTGTCATAATGCCCCGATGCTTGCGCTATGTTTTTTTTTTTTTTTCTTCACTTACCTTCGGTGCGGGAG